CATCTTTGCCCCTTTTGAGGTGCTCCACTTGCATGAGTCCAAAGTAGAGAACAGGAAGGTGTCAGGCTGCTAGGATATTCACACAGTTACAATCTGTTCTTCTCTGGAGCTGGATGGTATTTTTATATCCCATTAAGCAAAAAAACAAAAAAAAGAAGTTTATTGTTCTGCCTTTTGATTGCAACACAAGTTTGAGATTCCACCGTTCTCCTGTTTTGTGCACTGATCATGGTCTGTTGGCAAGTAGGGGTAGGTCTCCAGCTGTCTGCTGACAGTGCTCTTGTTTTCTGGTAATATTTTTTTTAAAAAAATTATCTTATTGCTCTGGGCGGATGAATGTAGCAAGGTGGGGTGGGAGAGAGAGCATCCTCTTTTCCCGGTTGCTGGTTGCTCAACTCGATCTTGTGCTTCTGACTTTTCTAGACACTGCTAATCTGTCTGGGCCAGAGCATTTCCCAGGTTTACCTGAATTTGGGGTTTATTGGATCAGCGTAAAGCCAGCAAGCATCAGCGTCCAGACAAGGAACCTCCCAGACTGTCAAGGGGCCTTTTATTTGATCTGTTAATCCTGTGATCGTATGCACACTAACCTGGGAGTAAGCCCTATTGAATCCAGTGGGATTTATCTCTGAGTGGACATGCCTAGGATTGTATAGTAAAACATGTCATAAATACCCTTGGCGAAACATCCTAAGTGGCCGAAAATCAAAGCGTGCGGGGGAGAGAAACTTTATTCAAAACAAATAAAGAAACAAACAAACGAAACCAAAGGAATGAAAGAATAACAAAACGGAACTGTGGGCAGGGCCAAGAGAGACAGATCAGAGGGTTGGATGTAGTCAATATCTGGCCAGGTCATGAAACATTATCATTTGGATCTAGGCCTGGGGAATCCGTTCAGGATTGTCCACACTAGAGCTAGCCAATGTGGTTCCTTCCAGATGTTGTTCGACTGCAGCTTTCATCAGTCCCAGCCTGCCTGGCCAGTGGTCTGGGGTGGTGGCAGTTGTACAAGAGCCAGTGGTGTGCAATGAATTTTTTCAGTTAGGGCCAGAGGCACCAACTTGCAAGGGCAATTGGTGGGGCGATGTTGCGCATGTGACATCACGTATGTGAGCATCGCGCCTCCTTCCCTAAGCTGGGCCGAAGCTTCCTAGGCTTTGGGAAGGAGGCATGAAGGAACATTCAGGAGACTAGGCTAGTCCCCTAGTCCACTGACCGCACACTACTAAGGACAAGACCTGGAATGTGCAATATTGGTTCTCCATAACCTACCCTGACTAGCTACAGCTCTTCAGAGCTTCAGGCAAGGGTCTTTCACAGCCTTATGTGGAGAACCTGAGACCATTTGCAAGTAAAGCAGCAGCTGTTCTCTGCAAGGGAACCAAGGCAGAGAATCTTTGCAGTCTGAGTGCCACAAACAGAAAGGCCTTGTCTTGTTCACCTCGGGCACAATAATGGGGCATCAAGCAGAACCTCTTGCCAATCTGAGGTGATGCCTCCCCCTTTTCTGTCTGGTTGAGGAGCCGTAGGAGGGAGGGCATGCCCGTCCTCGCAGTTAGTAGCTTGAGTCTATAAATACATATTAAGCACTAAGATTTCGTGAATGAACCAGAATAATCACAGAGCCAGGAATACTCAGCAGGAGTTTGGCTGGTTTGGTTGGTTCTGCAAAGCTCATCTTGCCGGTCTCCTTTCCTTCTCTCTTGGGTGTATTGTTTTTCTTTTACCATGTTACTTGTAGGATATGGCAGCCATGGCGATGTTTGGGCACCTGCAAGAGGGAGAATTTGGGGGAAGGCAGAGACCGTGTGATTTGCTTCCTTTTCCCTTAGTCGCTTTTTCACTGTGCTAGACTGAGAAGGGTTGGGTTTGCGGGGTCTTTTTGCTCATGCACAATCCTTGCATAAACTCTCTCTAGCTTTGTATTCGGTTAAGAGCCCTGGCGCATTGGTTTCCATCACTGTTGCTGCAGCTGATGAGACAGTGATGAAGTGGCTTTTAAGCTGCTGCCTTAGACTAAGGTTATTCCATTGGTCCCAGGGTTGTTTACTCTGACTGGCAGTGCTCAAAGTAGATCTTGGAAAGCAGCCTTTCCCAGCTCTTCTACCTGAGAACCGTTTAACTGGGGTTACTGGGAACTTGCTGCTGGAAACCTATGCATGATAGTCATGTGGTCATGAAGTGAGCATGGGATAATGCTGCACTGGACGCCCGACTCCTGCTTGTGTTTGGGTCTGTGCATCACACATTTCAGCCCAAAGCCAGCTCAGACCTTGCCATTGTATTCTGGTGCTGAGAGTTGCTGGCTGACAATTCCCAGAGTTCCATGGGAAGGGAGATTTATTCTTCAACTGCTCTGGGAACTGTAGCTCCGTAAGGGGAATAGGGTTTTCCTAACAAATCTCATCACCCTTAACAACCTACCGTTCCCAGTCTCATTTGGGGACATCCGGGATATAAAGCGGTTTGATACCGCTTTATACGCATAGGCCTTATGAGGCCTTAGAACGGTCTGATTGATCCATGCACGGAGACGACTTGTTTCTCATCACACATGTGGCATGCAACTGTAAGGTTAAACACTTTTCATGAAAAGGGTTTTCTGTGCGATGGTGAGGTTCTCAGGCTTTGAGTGAGTGCATTGCTGGGCACTATCACCCACAAAAGGAAGGGAAGGTGTCAGCAGATATGGGAAATTCTAAGGTTTTATAAAAGTACCAAAAAAAAAAGAACCTTCAGAAGAAAAACTCCCTAAAAATGGGGGGGGGGGAGGAAAGTAGCACCACTCTCTCACAGCTGTGAGTGTCAGGAAGGTAATAATGAGCCAATCTTGACCCTGCGTTCCTTCTCTGAAGGACTTTCTCAGAGGTCCTTCTCAGAGTGTCCTCTGAGGGAGATATGGAAGGTGGCAATGCAAGAAAGAACAGGCCTTTTATTTGGTGCCCCCCCCCGCCCACTTAAGAAATGTTCTCCTCAGGGAGGCCCATCACTCGTTGCTTTTAGGCACCAGGCAAAAACAATCGGTTTCATCCAGGCGTTTGGCCTTTAATTTGGAGAGTTTAGGGTATTCTGGCCTTTAATGGGTGGGATGTGCTAGGCTGCTTTCTATGCATATGAATGATCTTAGCTTTTGTTTTGTTTTGGTTTTGCATTGATTTTAACTTTGTTAATTATATTGTAAGTTACTTTGAGTTTTGTGTGTGTGTGTGTGTGTGTGTGTGTATCTACTAATAAGTACAGTTAATAATAATAATAATTTCCAGGCACATTTGGTATGATTAGGAACCAAAGCAGGTCAAAACCAGTCAGTTAGGAACACTTAAGTTCTGAGGAGACAGTCCAAAAGTGAATGAGTTGATAAATATTACAGGATTTGTTAATCCTATAATGACTTGCACACGTAGAATTAGTTTCTTGGGTTTTGATGAGTAAGACTACAGTAGCAGCATCCGTCTCTTTGAGCAGCCAAATCCCACCCATTGTGTTCCTGCAGACACTCCAGGATTGTAACTCAATATGATAACTCAAAACAACTTTCAATAGCTGATAGCTATACTTAGAGCTCATAAACACGGTCAGCTAATGTTATCAGTAAACATTATTTGTTATTTATTCAATTTATACCATGTGTTTTCCTCCCTAAGGAGTTGGGCAGACCCAGCAATGATAAAACATTTACAAAAACGGTTTAAAAACCATTCTAGAAACTGTTTAGAAACATTGCCCCGGAATACTATCTTTCAGCCACCAGTTGCCTGGATAAACTGGAATGCTTTTAAATTTCTTCTAAAAGTCAGCAACGAGGGAGACCGACGCATCTCACTCAGAAGAGCTTTCCACAAACGGAATCACCCCTGGAAAGGACTTGTCCCGGGTCAATGCCAGGGGTAGGCAACCTAAGGCCCAGGGGCCGGGTACGGCCCAATCGCCTTCTAAATCCGACCCATGGACGGTCCAGGAATCAGCGTGTTTTTACAAGAGTAGAATGTGTCCTTTTATTTAAAATGCATCTCTAGGTTATTTGTGGGGCCTGTCTGGTGTTTTTACATGAGTAGAATGTGTGCTTTTTGTACATGAGTAGAATGTGGAGAGCCAGTGTGGTGTAGTGGTAAGAGAGGTAGACTTGTAATCTGGTGAACCGGGTTCGCGTCTCCGCTCCTCCGCATGCAGCTGCTGGGTGACCTTGGGCTAGGCACACTTCTCTGAAGTCTCTCAGCCCCACTCACCTCACAGAGTGTTTGTTGTGGAGGAGGAAGGGAAAGGAGATTGTTAGCCGCTTTGAGACTCCTTCGGGTAGTGATAAAGCGGGATATCAAATCCAAAATCCTCCTCCTCCTCCTCCTCCTCTTCTTCTTCTTCTTCTATTTAAAATGCATCTCTGGGTAATTTGTGGGGCATAGGAATTCATTCATTCCCCCCCCCCAAAATAATTTGTCCAGCCCACGACACGGTCTGAGGACCGGTGGACCGGACCTCGGCTGAAAAAGGTTGCTGACCCTGGTCTAGGCTTTAAAACCTGGATATATGGCAACTCAATGGAAAAAGCTCAACAGAACAAAAAAAGCTCAATAATTTTGGGGTCTTCGTAAAAAAGCACAACAACTTTGTGGGTGTCAGGAATTCTGAAGTAGGGCAGGGGTGGCCAAACCTTTTTCAAAGAGGGCCAGATTTGATGAAGTGAACATGCATGAGGGCCGACCAAAGTTGCAGAGCTTTTTTTTAGGGTTTTACCCGGGATATATACTGCCATGGGGGCTGGATTAAATCGACCGGCGGGCTGGATTAGGCCCCCAAATGGACTTTGAACATGTCTGATGTAGGGCAACCCCTACACTGAGTCCAATAAGCAGTTATCACATACCAGACTTGGTGCACTCATACAAATATTTTTGCAGTGTAATTTGCTGGCGTTAGAAAACTATTTGGAGCTGGAAATCCATTTTCTGCACATCAGCCCAGGATCTACCAGTAGATCCTGACTAAGCTCTGCTTTAGAAGGTCTGTGGCTCAGTGGTAGAGCATCTGCTTTGCATGCAGACAGTCCCAGGTTCAATCCCCAGCATCTCCAAGTTGGGTTGAACTGGGTAAATGGCAATGGCATGTGTAGGTGGAGTGTATGAAATGGCAGCTGTCTTGTTTGTTTTTGTTTATAGTGTCTCCTAGGGCCCATGCAGGTTTCCATCAGCACCATGCTTTCCAGGCACAGGTCAGTGCTTTAAAACACCATGTCTGAGGTGGTTGTTGTTGCTGTTGGGTTTTTCCAGACTCAGCGCTTTCCCTGGGAAAACCCACATTTTATAGGAGAACTAGAGCAAATGGCAATCCATGAAATCACCAGTTGCCATCAGCTCCAATTCAGCGTTAAAACACTGGTTTTCCCAGGGAAAGCATTGGGACCCAAACAGAACAGAACAAAACACTGCTTGGATACGGAGCTTTGACGCACGGACTTTGTGCCTAGAAAATCAGCACAAAATGCAGTCTGGATGAGCTCCTAGTAAGGAATGTAGGACTTCCGTAAGAGCTGGTTGATATGAGCTGACTGAAATTTGCTCCAGGCATTTTGCTCGGAGCCAAAATAAGACAGATTTCTTATTTGTAGCCAGAGCTTTTTTATAGCCAGAACTCACTGGAACTTACTTCCGTCACCTCTTTTTCTAGAAAAACAGCACTGGTTGTAGCTGATCAGATTTACTGTTTTCAGGACAAAAGGCAGTGAGGGTAGCCACTATAAATAATACTACAAATTGTTAACTTTTAGCCAAGAAATTGGCAGGAGGTTGAGTTTTCTTATGGCTTTTACAGATGCTGAGCTGGTTCAAATGTCACGACAAACCATGGTTTGCTATCATGATGAAAAGAAGCTGCAGTCAGCCTTGGGCTTATGCCCTTGTTTCTTCTCTTCCTGACACAGCCCTGAAGAGGAGACTGGAAATGTTCACTTCTGGTTTCGTTTCATTCTTTGGTTGACAATTTATGTGAGCCTACAGTTGTTTGCGTGAAGCATACCCGAATCAAACCATGGATTACGAAGCTGGCTTGTTTCAACAAACTGTACTTAAGATTAACCACCGTTTAAGGTCCAGGCGTAACGCTAAACTACAGTTAATCAAAACCAGAAGTACAGTAGTACCTCGGATTAAGAACTTAATTTGTTCTGGAGGTCCATTCTTAACCTGAAACTGTTCTTAACCCGAGGTACCACTTTAGCTAATGGGGCCTCCTGCGCCACCGCAGCTCGATTTCTGTTCTCATCCTGAAGGAAAGTTCTTAACCCGAGGTACTATTTCTGGGTTAGCGGAGTCTGTAACCTGAAGCGTCTGTAATCCGAGGTATTACTGTAAAAGTTTTATCTCATGACTGTGCTGAAGAAGGCAATGAGTACATACGTTAGAGGCTCACCGCAGCCCATTCCTGTAACAATAAACCATGGTTTATCATGATATCTGATCTGGTAAAACAAAATGAAGGAATACTACACATAAATATATATGTGGAATATATATTTAGTTTTTACTCCTCAGTAACCTTGGTTCCCAAACGGCTTAGTTGTCAAAACAAATCGGCTCCTGAGCGCCACAAACCCGGAAGTAAGTATTCCAGTTTGCGCACGTTTTTTGGAAGATGAACGTCCGACATGGCTTCCACCTGAGTGCAGGAAGCTCCTGCAGCCAATCGGAAGCTGCGCCTTGGTTTTCGAATGGTTTTGGGAGTTGAACGGACTCCCAGAACGGATTCAGTTCGAGAACCAAGGTACCACTGTATTCTTTTGAAATAGTTTTATGGAATCTAATTCCTGAGGTTTACCTAAGAGCAGTAGAAAAATGTTTTAAGTAAAATAAATACTAATAAGTTTACAGTGTAGTTCTTATCTTCCTGTAGCCCTTAACTCACAAGCATGATCCTAAGCATGTTTACTCAGAAATAATAACCACCAAATTTACTTCCTAATAAGTGTACTTGGAATTGCAGCCTCGATTATGTTTCTCAGAACCCATGTGAATAGGGAACTAGGAACCAGGGAACAAAAATAGTCCTGATTGTAGTAAATCTGGAGATAAATATGCAAACAACACAAGGCAGTAAGCCAGTTTGGTTAAAATTTAGTGGAATTGCCTGTTGGAGGGCTTGATATTCAGTCTCCTGGAACAAGGTTTTTCAGGTTTTAGAGCCAAATTAAACAACCAGCAACCTTTACATGATGCATCTGCAAGTTGGACTGTACCAGTACAGTCTACAGCAGGGAGGTCAAATATTTGAATGCTCTCAGCCCTTTAGAAGGCTATCTGCCTCTCTAAAATGCTAGTTTTGCAATGCATAGCAGAGGGAGGGAAGTATGCAAACATTTGATTGCTCCTCTGCTGCCCATAGTTTGCTGATGATGTAGCAATAGCATGGTGTTTACAGCATGGAAGAGGAATCTGTGGCTGTACTTGGGCTCCAGCTGTCCTCAGCCAGCATACCCAGTGGTCAGGGACGATGGGAGCTGTAAGCCTAGCAACATCTGGAAGGCGAAAGTTCCCCCATCACTGATTTACAGGATACCTCCTTTCTGGCTTTCCCCCCCTTCTTGTTTGAAGTGCTTTGAATAGTTAAATAGGCAGAGAAGCAGGAAACAGGATTGCAAAAAGATTCCTGAAGACCAAGCTGCCCTTAACGGTCACAGAAAACAGGCCATTATACTCTGAATGGCCTGTTTTCTGTGGCTGTTAAGGACAGCTTGGTCTTCAGGAATCTTTTTGCAGCAATGAAATAAGTTTGAAGACCCTCCAGATGTTGTGGAACAGGCATAGGCAAACTTGGCCCTCCAGATGTTTTGGGACTACAACTCCCATCATCCCTGACCACTGGTCCTGTTAGCTAGGGATGATGGGAGTTGTAGTCCGAAAACATCTGGAGGGCCGAGTTTGCCGATGCCTGTTGTGGAACTTTCATCATCCCTGACCATTGGTGATGTTGTCTGTGACTAATGAGACTGCAACATCTGGAGGGCCAAGGTTTCCCCATCTCCCCCACACCCCGCAGTCATGAAATATTTTCTTCTGTTTCATATGAGAACCCCTCAACCACTAGGCCCAGTTGAGAACATATAATTCTGAAAATCAGTTTACTATGTCTCAAGCTGTTATTACTATTTGCGAACAGATGACTTAAATGTTCAAAATCACTGTGGTGAAATTGAGGTTTGGCTTTGAATTTATGTCAATTCCACTTTAAAACATCTACAGTCTACATTATTGGTGTTGCTCAAGGCATTTAATGTGCAAAGAATGTGCCTCTTTGACAATTTCAGGAGGTTGTTTGCTTCTTCACATTACTGTGCTTTCTCCTTACTGACTTCTATGCCTGGGACTGCCTCCCAGAATGCCTCTGTGATACCAGCACCTCATAATTCCTTTAATTTCTTCCTCAAGTCCACCTTTTCCATTAAGCCAGGGATGGGAACCTCTGGCCTTTGGGTGCTGTTGGACTACAACTTTTCTGTGGTGGCTCCCCGATTGTGGAATGCTCTCCCCAGAGAGACTTGCCAGGCACCATCATTACATGTATTTAGACGCCAGGCAAAAACATTCCTCTTTTTTCCAGGCCTATGGCTATTAAATAATCAACGGCCTGTGAAAGTGTGTGGGAGAGACTGTTATTATGATTATTATTTTACTATTAGGCTGTCTGTCAGTATGTTTTTTACTATGTTTTTATTACATTTTTATCACTGATGTTTTGGAATATGTTTCTCATGTTATAACACTGCCTGGCCTCTGAGATTTTTTGATAAAGAGCAGTAAACAAACAAACAAATAACAAAACTTCTATCCAGGTATATGCCGCCATACTAATATTCATACCCTCCAACATTTCTCCGATGAAAGTAGGGATGTCCTATTGCATAATCATAATAATAACCATAAAATATACCCCGCCCATCTCGCTGGGTTGCCCCAGCAACTTTGGGCGGCTTCCAACATATAGAAAAACATAATAAAACATCAAACATTAAAATCTTCTTAAGGTTGTATCATTACTTACCTCCTTATCTCAGGGGTTGCATAACTCCATACACTCCAACATTTCTCTGATGAAAATAGGGATATTCCAAGGAAAAGCGGGACATTCTGGGATTAAATCAGAAACCGGGACGGCTTCTCTAAATCCGAGACTGTCCCTGGAAAATAGGGACACTTGGAGGATCTGAAAGTTGTATATTTTTTTTTCAGAACCTTTTTGCCTGTGGTTCCACCAGGGGTAAACAGAACAGAGTGTGAATTGCTGCCACTGTCATTATTATTATTTAAATGGCATGGCTTCTGTGCGTTTAATTGATACACAGGCTTTTCCTGGCAAGGAGCTAGACACCATCGCCTGCTAATTTCTGTAAACCTGACAGGTGCTAGAGGCACAGTTACAGGGGCTGGCTGAAAAGTTGGCAACCCCTCTGCAGCCCTGCCCAGTGAGAGTCTGACAGCCTTAAGCCAGCGTGTATTAAAACGAGTGTCGAGAGGATTACTTTTTCTTCTCTGTTTTCCTTTCCTCATCACGCTTTTCAACATACCCTCTGTAGGTGCGGCCTGATTCTAAGTGATGTTGGAGATTGTGAGTGTTAAGAACTGGGAGGTGGTAGCTATTGGAGATTAATTAGTCGAAACACGCAGGCCCATTTTCAAACAAATTGCTTTATGGGCACAGAGCTTATTTTATTATTTAATAACATGCATTGCTCCAGATTACCTGGATAAGGGTATGGACAAGTGCAGTGGCAGAGCCAATCCAGAACTCATGCACCCAGTGTTCAAAATTAGCCAGGCTTTCACTGCCTATGGCAGACCTTCAAGTAACTTGGCCTTAAGCCGTTACGTTCTTTAAAAGCCATGACCAACACTTTGAATTTGGCCTGAAGCATATTTGCAGTCAGTGTAGCTGATGCAGAATTGGTATCAAATTGGTATAAAACGGCCTTCTGTAAAGGTAAGTCCTGGCTAACTAACTTTTTGAGTGCTTTCTTGGTGAATGATGCAGTAGGCAGGGTGTACAGCACTTTGACTTTCAGAAAGTTCTTGATACGGTCCTTTG